AATTGAAGATTCCCTATTTCGAATAAAGCTTACCCTAAACCGCAAGGGTTGATACGTTTTCTTACCCTAGGTTTTATGGGAAGGTAACCGAGACGAAATTAAATACATACGGCAACCAAATATGTGTAATAGGATGATTATGTCATTAACCTAACTAGCTCTGGGGCAACAAAGCATTGCTAGTGCTCTGTGTTGTCATTAGATGGGTTGTGGGCTTATTGGGCCCAAGCCCATTTATGTCAGTGGCTATGTTTGGCCTAATGGGTCACACACTAACACCTTATTGTCATGACAATATAGCATTAAAGGTATTGGGCTTAATAATGGTTGTTAGCCCAAGAAGAAGTTTGGAAGCCCACCAAAAGGGGAAAAGGGCGCATGGTTAGTTAATGGGCTTGGATGGTCCAAGACATTACTAATTAATTTAATTAGTTAAATTAATTATCAAATGTTTAAATTTTGAAATTTGAAATTTTAAAATTTGAAATTTGAAATTTGAAATTTGAATTTTGAATTTGAAATTTGAAATTTGAAATTTGAATTTGAATTTTGAATTTGAAATTTGAATTTGAATTTAAAATTTAAATATTTGAACGTTTGAATTCAAATGTTTGAATTCGAATTTGAATTGGCTATGAAAAGTTGTTTCATAACAAAAGGATAAGATAAGATCTTGTTGGAACAAATCCCAAATATCAAGAGGAGATCTTTGAGAATCTTTTAGTGAGGATATGAGGGCGCTGATTTTGGTATCTGATGATGGTCATAGGATCAACCAAATGAGCTCCAGCCAGATTTGGTTTGTTGAGAGAATAAGTGAGACAGTTGGTTCAAGTTTGAATGCAACTGCTCAACGTATCTGGACTGTTATGAGGCCAAGTGGGGCGCACCATATGGCTGGCCATATGATGGTTGTTGAGTCAGATTCTTGTTGAGATATTCACTTGATATCATGAGGATGTGAGAGGAGGTTGTTGACAAGATTTGAATTTTGCAACAACTTCACTCATCCCCCCTAGTGAGCGCTACATAGGGCCTTATTTGAGTGAAGAAAATCTGATTTTAATTAACTCATTCGCTCATCTCCTTGTGGGTTCCTTTTGTCAGGTTTTTCTTAAGATAGTTTTGAAATAACCTAGCCTTTTTCAAAGTAAATCCATGCGCCACTTTTGTGTCTATTCTTGCCGAATATTCATTCTTCTAAACACCTTGACCTAACCTCCTCCTTCACACATTGGGCCCATAGCTTGCCTCCATTGGTGTTTTCGTTGGTGGCCTTGAAGAAGAGTTCTTCCGTCTTGACAAAGGGTGGTGTGGATCAACATTAGAGGGCTTGCATCTTCAAGCCTCATCTTGATCATCCTCAAGTTTTGGAAAGCAAACAAGGTAACATCCATGCCCTAAAGTATGTTTCTTGATATGGTATGTGTTATTCCAATCGAAAAAGATGTTTCTTGATATGGTATGTGTTATTCCACTCAAAAAATTTTGTTTTTCCCTCTCACATGCCTCGACTTTCAAGGTCAGTTTCTTTCATACCCCTCACACTAAACACAACGAAAAAGAACGTGCAAAACACAGTTAACTCATCATCAGAATTCGAGGTGTCTGAAGAACTTGAAGAATAAAAATCTGAATAGCTCAGGTTAGAAGGCCACCAGGCAGGCAGTATCTTATAAAGTCCTATGTCTTCAAAAATGGCGTCCCACACGCCATCCCTTATAAGGCGACCATCCTCTGGGTGGTATCTACTTAAACGGTTCTCTGTGGACTCATCATACATGCGACGATGGAAAGCCCAATAGGGGGAATTTGACCATGAGACGTGCGAAGGGCAACAGAAGAAGGGCGAGGACTGAAATAATACTCTAAAGGAAGGTTTTGTCGTTGGCGATTGATGTTAGATACGGGTCGAATAAGTTGCCCAACTCCAAGATCAAAATGCAGCAAAATGCGACGTCGTGAAGTAATCCTCGGATTGCGTGAACGACCAGAAGGCCTAAAATAATTCCTCCGTGAAGAACGAAGGCTGGCCCCCTCGATTGATCCTCCTGATCGCCGTCTCCTAGACCTTGCAGACGAACGTCCGCCAGATCCGGAACTTCCCTCTCCAACCACTTCATGGCGTCCACTATGCGATTTGGAACATGACGCCTCACCGGCATACGGGATGACAAGCCCTAAAGCTCTTTCGGGAAGGAGATTTTGAATCTTCTCTTCACTAAAACCCAGAAGTTTGGGTACTTTGCCATGGGGCAATTTCTCAACCCCAGGAATCAAAGGACGACTTAGGGCGCAACTAGCAAGATATTCCCGCATTGCTGGCCCCACCACACTATCTCCCAGTGCCTCAAAGGCTTCATCAAACTCCTCTTCCTTGATTTCTACTTCCGGCTCAGGAAGTATGAGACGAGGGATGGGTTCTATAAACCTAACCATCGACGTGACAGAAAAAGGAGTAGAAGGAAACCAGAAACAAAGAAACGAAACGATGAAAGAAGAAGCACTATACCTGGGAAATTGCAGAAATTGAGAGAGAGAAAACCGGCACTATCACACGAAACTGAGGATAGGAAACAAGCAGAAGGGCAGAAGCACAACAGTGTATGATTCGTGTAAGGAAGGATCCCAACGAGGGGTTCCCCCCTTTTATATAGAAAGAAGAGGAGGAAGGTCACATACATACACGTGTAAGTCCTCCTCACTCAACCGTAAGATGACACAGTCATCGTGCAATGGGCGGTTGAGATGAGGGACAAAGTGGTCACTTCAAGAGAACAAGTCACCTATCACGTCGCATTAATGCGTTGTGCCTCATGACGCTTGGATACCTGCAATAAATGGCAATGATGGAAAAACTCATCATGACGGCTCCTCGAAAACCGAAAAGCCACCCGAGAATGCCAGAAGTGGCAGCCTTTTCTGAAACATCCTCAGCCAATCACCGCCAAACCACGAGGACGTTACAGCTGTCATCAGAAGGAACGACTCACACCCGGTACTTTCGTATCGCCAAACAAGGCGTCGTCAAGACGCCTACCTTGGCACCAACCTACACTGGTTACCAAGATCGCTGAACGACTCACGCCCAGTACTTTCGTATCGCCAAGCAAGGCGTTGTCCAATTGACTACCTTGGCACCAACCTACACTTGCTACCAAGCTGGGGGGCCTCCTATTCCGGATTGCCCAACAAGATTCAGGCCTAATAGTTAAGGCCCAGCACCTACCAAGCATCCACGTCAGCCCTACCAGCTGGGGCGACGCGTACCCCCCAATGTGGTAACTTCCCAAAGCTAAACACCAAAGTATCCCACCTAGGGACCTCAACTCCCGAAAGCGGTCGCCTAAATGCCTTAAGAGGAAACTGTCCCCCTGTGACCTATGCTGACACCGCCAGACGCAGAAGGCACAGCGCTGCTACGATGGCAGCGCCTGTCACGCCCAACACTGCCATCGGCATATGGCCCCAAGGAGAGTTGACCTTCTCCCCACCAACCTTCACCCAGTAAGCACAATCTTCCCTTATAAATAGCTCCCAAGGGCACCCCTAGAGCATCTTATGTATCGTTATACTGTCCATTTACTTAGAGTCATTTTATCACCTTAGCTATCCATTGATTACTTTGCTTGTACTTGACATCATATTCCTTAGCTTGGTATGTACCTGTGCTAAGGGTATCATCCATACATTGACTCGTCTCTAAAGAGAACATAGTGAGCTTATAGATTCCAACGGTACAGGTAAAATAAAGTTGTGAGATTCACAATTTTAAAAAAAATAAAAAATGAAAAGAAAACATGGGCACAAGATTTTTTGAATGTATAACATAAGATAATTATATTATGTGACATAATACAACTATTTCCTTAAAAAATAACACATGAATTAAAAAAAATTCTCTTTCCTCGTACAACTAGCATATTTTTTCTTCGGCTTTGATTAGCCCATCGAATAGAACCAATGACGTAACAGAGTATATCTTAAAACGGCAAAACCCAGGCCTCGATTGAAATACACCACTTTCTTGCCTCGCAAGTGATTCCACGTTTTCCCCCTTTTTTTATACCAAAAAGTTTAAGCGGAGTTAGACATCGGTATCCTACTAGGGTCAGGGAAGACCCCCCAACCTCTTTGAGGATTTCTGAGAAGGATTACATATCACCCACCAACAAAGTCCTCACATCGGTCAGCGGGATTTGAACCCACTCCCTTGAGGGGTATGGACCAAACCCTAGCCAACTGTGCCCACATTTGTTGGCCACGTTTTCCATTTTCTACCTACTGTACCAGTTCAGTAAATAAAAAACGTTGTCATGTCACTGCCATCGTCATGAGAATACTTTTAACATTACAGAAGCACTGAGTTTTCAATACATTTTTTATTCATAATATGATATATATTTTATTTTTTATCAAAATATTCTCTTATCTTATTTTAAAATAAATTATTTATTAATAATTTGATAAAAAATAAAATTCATATTATAAGTAAAAAATATATTGAAAACTCTGAAATTTTCCACCGCACCCTAAAACAAAAAGCTTCTAGTTAACATTTCACAGCAACAAAACCAACTTGACCCATTGAGCTCTTCTCTGCCATACATCACCACGTGTCGCTCTCTTAACCCAACCACACTCAAAACGGGGTACCCACGTGTCGTTTTCCCCTCTCTCTTCGCCTTCCTTTGTCCATGGGCATTCAAGATTCGCGGGAACAACAAAATCTCCAACCACGTGTCGCTTCCTGAGCTTCTCACGCATGATTGCCACGTGGACCTCTCAGAACTTCCAAACAAACCACCATAAAACAATTAAAAAAAATAAAAAAAGCCCTTAAAAATCGGTTTTCATTAGTAACATCCCAGAACTGGCTTACGTGTCACCAATCGTTTTCTTCGCCTTCTCGCATTCCGCCACGTGTCCCTCCCTAGCTCGCTTCTTTCCTCCTTTTTCTTCTCCTAGAAAATCCAAGCTCATTTTCCTGGAAAATTCAGAGTAGCATTGAAAAAATTATGGAAGTTTCAGCAGAGTTAGGGTTAGGGGAGGAAGAGCTAGAGCTAGACTTGAGATTATCCATTGGAGGTAGTTTCAGCAGAACTGATGCTAGATCCAATGGGTTTCAATCTGAACGTTCCAATCAAGAATCGAAGCGGAAGAGGAGGTTGATGATGAGAGAGTCATGTGATGAAGCGAAACAACAACAACAACGAGGAATAATGTCCAAAAGGGAGAAAACTGGTGGTGTTAGTTTCAACAATGGCCTTGTGTTTCCAACCGCATGCAGAGGTTTTCAACCGTTTTCGATTCGTGATTCGGAACAGAATGATGAAAGAGATGTTGTTGATTCGTCTTCAATATGCGCTTCTTCTGTGGTTTCAGAACACCAGAGCTCTTCTCGTGACGGTAATTTCTTTTATTATTGTGATTTAATTTCTTTGTCTTTTTAGGTTCTTATGATTGTGAATTTACGGTGTTTTAACTTTCTTCTTCAATGATAATTTTTGTGTGTGTTTATTGTAACTTTAGCTTAAGTATTTGAGCAGCAGAAACTTTAAATTCATGCATATATATTGTATGTGAAAATGTTTAAATTGAAGTCTAAAACGAAAATAAGTGTTTCTAACAGGGTTTATAGACTTGTAATCTTGCATCTCACATAGTCTTGCACATTGGTCTCAGCCCAAATTCTCACAATTGTTTTATATAGCCACATTAACAGCACCTATGAGCATGTCATTCTAAGATAGTTTTCTAAATAGCATTGTTCTTCTGGAGAGCAGAGGTTACTTTTGGAGCAGTCAATTCATTTATATTTTGATAGAGTATAGTCTAGTCAAGTTTAACAGAAAAATGTGTCCAAATTGATTACAAAAATTTCTGTTTGGATCGGCATATATTTGTATTTTGAGTAAATACCCTTTTTTTCGGTTCTTAACAAATTTTACTACGCCGCTTTAGTCCTAAAAAGGCTCTTCGTGGTCCTTAAGAAGAAATTCAAAGTGGATCCATTTTATTCTTTTTGAGGGATGGTCTTTTTTGAATTCGTGAAGGACCACGATTTCAACTAAATGGTTCCATTTTGAATTTCTTATGGACCACGAATATCCTTTTTATTTGTTAGGGACTAAAGCGGACATCGTGAACCGAAAATGGTATTTACTCTTTATTTTTTTTTAAATTATTTAAAAGAAGAAAATCAAGAAAAAATTTATATATCAGCTCAGGTTTGTTTTCATAGGTGGGGGAAGCACAGACAGGCACGACAATTCAACTCATTCTTCATCAGAAACAACTCAGCTGAGTAATTCTGATAAAGAAAATAGCATTAGAAGCCAAACTGAAGAAAGTGCTCTTTCTCATCCTGTAAAGTGCAAACATGGCAAAGTTGAAGGGAGAAACCACATTGTGAAGGAAATTCAACCGAAGATCACACCAGAGCCAACTAAACTCAAGGTGGTTCCAATTTGCAAGCCTCTGTCTGATGAAAATTCAAGCAATGATGACCCTTTGAAGGAAACCAAAACTGAAATGGGAAAAGCTCCAAAACCTCTTTCTCAATCCTCTTCTCTTCCTCGAATGCCATATGTTTCCACAACTGGAAACGGACCAAATGGAAAAACAGTTAATGGGTTTTTATACAGATGTACAAAATCAGAAGTTAGCATTGTTTGTGTCTGCCATGGAAGCACATTTTCACCTACTGAGTTTGTGCAGCATGCTGGTGGCACAGACATTTCTCAACCTCTAAGGCACATTACCGTGATTCCTTCTGCATTTGGGTGATCTTTTGGGGTTTTAAGCATTCTTCAATTATGTGGTGGAAGAATTCAATTAATTAAATGTTAGATATGTATTCAGTATTCTTTTACCAATACATAATTTTAATTTTGCTTATTGTAGTTTTTCATAAAAGTGAGGAGGAAAGGCTGATTTCAATAATTAATAAGTCTTATACAAGATTTTAATCGTTAATTTTGGTAAGATTTATTGGGTCCATTTATTAATTAATTATTAATTTACAAGAAATCTCAACTGTCTTTTTTCTCCAAAATTAATGCCATTTAACGTTATTTTAAATTAATCTCATGGTAATTTTATATTGATGTAGTTAAAATGGATGAAAATTTAAGCAAAGTTTTAAATTTTATATTTCAATAATAATTTTGTAAATTACGTATGAGAGAAATAATATTTTATTCTTAAATATATTTTCCCATTAAATTTTAAACTTTTCATTTGTTAATTTATTTTATTAAATTTTAATTAAATTTAAAAATATATATACCATACATTATATATTTATCAATTAGTTAATTAAGAAACAATTGGATTTTCGACATTTTCTAAACTATTCAATGAATAAAATTATTATATGTATCGTCATAAAAAATGTCAAGAATAATGATAAATTAAAGTGGAAATTGTGGCACATAGTATTTAAAAATAAACACTTTGATGGTATCAAATTTACATGAAGTTTTGATGATTACAAGTATCTATGATGAGTTCAAGGAACATGAAAAAAAAAACAAGAGAAGAATCAATCGGAACAAAATGAGATGAGGATTCAAGAGTTAAGCGTAAATCAAAAATCATTTGGAAGATTTCAAAGAGCCTAAATACAAATTCGAGAATGAAGTGATGATTGAAGATTCGAGAGCACAAAAATAACTCTACAGATCTGATTAGAACATATTATAGGACCTAGATTTAGTAGTAAATGTATATAATTGATTGTACTGCATGGATTCAATATGAAATTCACATTTGCATTGCATTATAGCGTGAAAGTGTACCTTAATCATACCCTATAGAACGAGCATCCTAAAATTAAACCAACAAGTAAGAAGTGCTCAAAAGTGAGGCATATATAAGGAGCCAAATAATGACTCAGATATAAGGTAGTATAGAAAAATTTCAAAACCTTCAATCACTTCCTTCAAAATTGAATTCTACATATCATGTCTCGATCTTGGAAAAACTTCAGGAAAAAAATAAAAGTTTCTTATGAAATCAAGCCCCAAATATAATTTTTTTTTTATTTCCCTTTCATATGCCTTCAATCTTTGGGAATATAAAAAGGAAATAAAATATACCATAAAGATGTCTTTTCTTAGACAATGTGTTGTATAAGAGATATATCTTCTGAAACTTGAGAGAGGGAGAGACAGACATATGTTATACATTGGGCAAGAGGCTATTTGTTATGTAATACCATTTTTGAATCTAAATAACCCAAATACCATCCATGGCAATACACTAATTTGCTATACCGTGATACCTTGTCAAAACTAGGAGTGTTAATGAGTCGAGTCGAGCCGGACTTTGGTCTTAAAAGATTAAGCCTGTGTTTAAATGTATTAGCTTGGCTTAGCCTGTTATCTATTACAAATATAATTATCGACCTGTGACCTGATTTATTTATAAAAAAAATAAAAGTCTGGTTTAACCTGTTAATATAAAATAAGATAACAAAAATTTATCGAAACAAAATATACGATTAACAACACTAATAATTACACAAAGATTCATAAATTCAATGTATATCCAATCAGCATAATATAAAAAAAAAATTCAAAAAGTCTATTTAACCAATAAAATGTGGTGAAATGGGTTGAGGAGTGAGAGAGAGAGTTATTATGAGTAGTATAAAAAATTTAAAAAAATAAAAGTTATAGGACAGCCTGAGAGGCTCTAAAGCTGAACTTTTGAATTGGAGGCTAAGGCATTTTTATTAAACGAGCTTTTATACAAGTACAAACCTAGTTTCAACAATCAATTTTAGACACGTAAGTCCAGGTCTTCACGAGCCGAGTCAAAGACCCCCGGTTCGTTTAAACCCTTAGTCAAAACTAAACATTATGAACCTAAAAACCCAAAGTGCCATATTTTGTCAAGAAACTCCAACATAGTTGAATTATATTATAATTTAGAGAATACCAATAATAAGAAAAATAAAAAACAAAAAACAAGTATGCCAGGATAGTAAAAAGTTAAAACTGATCCAGGAAATGCAAACCTATTTCATATCCACAATGCCCATTACTTAAAAAATAAACTCAAAACAAGATGATAAGCAGAACAAGAGAAATAACAACAACTTTTCCACGAACCTATTTTCCAAATATTAGTAAGTAGTGACATTAACAACATAAGCTGAGCTCAAACTACACATGCAAAAGGAAATATAAAGTAACAAAGACCATAACATATACAAATCTAAAAAGCTAATAGAAAAAAGAGAAAGAGTTTTCACAAATCAACTAATTTGAGAAAAATTTATTCATGATTTTACCTAAGGGATCCATGACCGCAGAGCTTTTAACGCATATCCTTGAAAAGGAGAAGTTCACATTATTCAAAATAGAAAAAAGAGTTACATTCACTTAACACAAATCCAAAAGGAGGAAGATTTAAAAAAATAAAAATAAAACTTACAAATGAGATGAAGTTTGAAAGAAGATGAGGTGTGGCGGCTAAAAAGATGAAAGGTGTAGGTTAAATGAGATAAAGTTTGTTAGATTAAATTATTTTTAAATATTTTTATTTTTTAGTTATTAATTCAAATGATATATTGGTGGTGAAATCGAGGCGGTGTAAAAGAGTGGTTAAAATATTCAAAATCAATATGTTCATTGGCCCTTTTTTCAAAGTGACATAAAATAACTGACTTAAAATTTGTGATTTCTTGTAGTGTCTACTTCCTTTTATGACAACCCGACTAATTAAATTGTGAATTTGGGAATTAATTAGAAATTAAAATATGTTGATTGGATAAAAAATTTAATTATGCAATTTAAGTCACTTTTCGGGGAGAAAGTTTAAATAATAAAAAATTTGGGTTAAAAAGGCAATTATGTGAGTTACATGAAACTTGAAAATAGTGTAATGAGAAACTATTTAATGATTTTGTGAATGTTAAAATATATGTTAGATGGTATAATCCTTTGATTGGAGGAGATTATAAAGGATTAATGAATAAGGGCAATTTGGTAAATGGCCAAGTTGCTATGATTGACTTTTCGTCAAAGTGATTATAAGACACTTAAAGCATATCATTAGTTGTTAAATTTCCTTCTTCATCAAGTTTTCTTCTCCATTTGACCGAGACTACATTGTTGCCTAAGCTCCAAAAACTTATCTTGAGTTAGTCTGTTTAACATTTTGGTCCTTAGATGGAAATTGCTTAAAATCACACTAGGAGCAAAACCCACCAAACAAATACCATTGAGAAGCCTTGTGTTGGAAGAAAACTTCTTTGTTTGTTTGGCACCATTTTGGAGTCTTGGAGGTAGGAAGAGTGTTTGAGTTCTTTTGAAGCTTGGAAATCACTTCTACTATCATTTAAAGGAGATCTATGGTAAGAAAACTCAACATTCTTTAAGTTTTATGAAGATTCATAATTTAGGTTTTTGGGAAAAATTATGGATTTGATATTCATGAATTTGTGATAGATTTTGATGATGGATTTAAGTTTAATTGATGGTTTAGTGTGGAACCTATTGGTTTTTAAGTGGAAGATCAATCATTGGACAACTCTATGGACCAAGACCTTGAATCTTGACTTGTCAAGTTTAGGGTAAGTTCCTAAAATGTGATTTCATGGTGAAATTATAGTTAATAGCTTGATATTTTGTGTTTGATGTGTGATTGATCCTATTTCACCTTTGAAATATGTGCTACTTGTAGGAGATTATTGTGTTGACACTTTGAGCCTAAATCAAGTATTGAGGAGATTACTTGAGCTTGAAGAAATCTTCTAAAGGAAAGGCTTCAAGAGGTAGATATTGGATCTTGGGGATTTATCTCCCTTACTGTTCCACCATGCTCCTAGGGAGTTATGGTTATGTACTGTATGATTGATTGTGTTTAAGTTGTATGGTATAATTTCATTCATATAAAGTTATTGTGTCATTGGTGAGTGCACCATTAGACAAACACTAGGGGTTAAATATGGTTATTTGACTTTTTAGTTATTTGGCCAATCGGAACATGAAGTTTCCTTTGGGATTTCATCCATTTAGGACATCCCACCAAAGTTATCATTGTGCTCTAGGAACACAGATCCAAGGTGTACTGTGGGTGCACGGATCCTAGTGTACTGAGTACACACTTACTGTAAGAACCCGCACCGTTAATTAAGGTATTTAATTAATTAATTATGTGAAAATAGGAAATGATTCCATAATTGACCCTAATAATTATTAAGAGGCTTTAATAATTATGGAAAGTGATTAAGAATGTTGAAAGTCGCTTTTCGGAAGAAAAGTGCAGATACTGGTTCTGCTAGTCGGTATAAATGCGTACCGAAAAAGTATTCCGGAAAATTAATGTAAGTGCATGATAATTACTAGAATAATATATATGACTTGTAAAACGAGTTTCAAGTCAAAATAATGAGAACTGATGCCAGAAACTAATACTGGCTATGAAAAACGCGTACCAGAAAGGTGCTTAGAAAAATATAATAAAAATATGAAAATTCTTGTAAAATTGAGTAGGTTATGAATCCAGAGTTTGGGATTAAAATGCTAAGTATAGCAATTAAAGCTAATACTGTGTGTTTTAACCCTTAAGTGGCCTATAAATACAATAGTTGGGCACAAAACCCTAGGTGTGTTTTTTGAAAGAAACTCAGCCGCTGAGTGTGGCTTCTCTTTAGAGTTTCTTGGAGTCCTAGCCTTCTTCTCTAAAGTTTCCATTTTTTTCTTCCTCTCTTCTATTGAAACACCACCCATCCATTAAAGCTTTAGTTGTGTTGAAGGAGAACCCTTTGTTGAAGATTTGGGTGCTTTCTAAACCTCTCAAGTTTTCATTTTTCTGTTCTAAAAAGAACCAAGGTAAACTTAATTATCCCCTTATGAATCCTTAATTTTGACT